AAAAAAAAAAAGTGGAGTAGTTATTGTATATAAAAGTATAGGACTTACAAGAATGACATGGCAACGGCGTTGATGAATCCAACCCCAGGAGAATATAGCTGCACCAACCCACGTGTACCATTTGAGCTGCATAAGCGGACTCACAAGGTCCCATATATCAAATTCTGTGAATTCCATTCTATCCTTCCCCTTAACAACAAATTCTGTGAACACATTCACCACAAATTTGAATACCTCCAAAGCATAAGAGGAGCAGAGGGATAGTGGAGCTGCTATATAGAAACTGACAAGAAATGATAAGTGATCAGAACGACTGGAATATTAATTATACTTTTGTATTTTAAAATTTTCAGTTCAAAATGGCATTACTATAATAATGTTGTTCAACAATCGACATAATTTTTCAAGAGACAAAATATTATAATAACTATATAATCTTTACCCAAGTCAATAAACATAAAGATGTCCCATATACTCGAGCAAGGATTACTATTTACTGCTTCATATCAGTCATACGTATCACTAACAACAAATATCAGAAAATTGCAGTCACCACACTGCAAAACTGCATTATGAGAATCAGCTTTATGATCTCATACAGAATGTAACACAAACATGTGCAATCTGAAACGACACTTACATTAGTCCAGTGAGATAGGCAGCAATATGCATCCGAGCTGAGGGGCTGTACTTGAATACGTATATAGTCTCGAAAAGGCGTCGCAATACTTGAATTTCCATCAACAAAAGCAGAAACACAGATTTCCAGAGCCCATACTTGTAGTTCAGTGATGAATGAGATTTTCGCGAGAACAACTCATGCGAAATCCCAGTCAAGTGGCTAGATATGCTCGAAAACAGCACAGGCTCAGTAACTCTTGGAGCTGTCTTGTGAGCATATAGCCACGTGGCTACAAGCAGAAAAGTTGTCCATACAACTGCAAGTATGTAAAAGTGACCAAAGAATTTCTGGGGGACACTCAGTCTCTGCATTACAAGGAGGCAACATGTAACCGAAAAGCTGGTAAAAAATTGTGCCATTATAGATAAAAAGTGAAAGACCTCGCGCAGCCAATATACATACAATTGATCATTTTTCTGTTGTAAAATCACATAACAAGCTAATTATAAAGCTGTTAAAACAATATTATTAAATACTAACCCTTAATGTGGCCTAGTTTCATGCGATAGACAACAAAATGCTGCTCAGGAGTTTATGACAATCACACTAGTCAGCTATATAGAGTCAAATAACAATATACTCTTTCTTGTTTAAGAGTCAAATAGCTATATACTCTTTCTTGTTTATGACAATCACATTAGTCAGCTAATATACTCTCGAGTTCATCCCTCCAAGAGACCCAATTGGTAATTTACAGTAAGAAATCAGAACATAAATTGCTCAATTAGCTGAAAACATAAAAGAAAATGTTCAACTCTTTCCTCCAACATTCCTAAGATCAACTGGAACCCTATAGAAACATAGTAACTCAACTGCGGAAAACAAAAACAGCTAAGCTTCAAAAGAAAACAGAGAATGAAAAACAAACATACACGCAACAGTTCACTGAATCAACTCAACTGATCTCGCTTCACATCTCATAAGCATAATTTAATCACAGATTAAAAGGGGCAAATAATTTTATTTTTCAAAATACAAATATATTTACTTTAGAGGATGCGTCCATAGTCTTGCCCCGTCCACTGAGCTTAAGAAATAACTGATGAAAAACGCCGACTTTGGATGATGGTAAGGATGCAATCGCGATCGGTGAAATCGCCGCAATCCACACCGCCCTCAGACCCCAAACCACCGCCATTGATGACGCCGGATTAAGCATCCACTGGAAAAGCATTAATGTCCAGCTCTAGCAAAGAGTGAGAATATTACACAATGCAAATTTGCTTGGCGTGAGGTTTTGGAATGAGTGGGGATGAAGTGTTTTAAATGAAGTGGAAGAAACCTGCTTTTGTTAGGCTAATCCGAACGAGATTTAAGTTTAATGTAGAAGTAGGGTTTAAATTAGGATTAGGATATTAATTTATTTTACTTAACAAAGAAAATTGCAATTAATGATACATGGAAAATAAGGAAATATATCATAGCCATGCCTAACAAGTACAAAGCTGCCGTGATATGATAATGCATAAATTACCTAGGAATGTAAATTGGTCGGGCCGGGTGCGGGATTTGGCATACCTGTACCCAACCCGCCTGCTAAAAAATGCACCTGTACCCAATCCGCTATCCGATTATCCAGCACCGGGTTTGGATTGGGTTTTACCGTCGGGTAGTTCGGTACCGCCAGGTAACCGGGTACCCCAATTGTTGCAGCTGATCGAGTTAGGTCGGGCTATTTTTACCCGCTTACCCGAATCTCACGCGATTACCCTCAATCCCTCACCCTCACCCTCAAGCCCGATCCCCGGCACACAGTACGAGGCGGCGAGGCCACCAGACGGGCAACAGGGAACAGATTTCACCCTTACGGCCCTTCTGCAGACCACACAATTTTCACTCTTTTTTCTTCCTCAATTTTCACTACCTCTGCGCCCTTACCACCAATACCTCCATTTTTCGGCCCTTCAACAGTTACCTTGAATAAATGAAACAAGATTACAAGAAGAAAATGGCTTACAGTGTGTTCCGTGGCCTTGGCCTTCTGGAGCAATTGTTGTCGTGGCTGTCCGGAGCGGCCGGAAATCAGCGGCTGCCGCGACTGAGAGCAGCGGGCAGCGGCGGCCGGTGGGGTGATGCCAAGATGAGATGGCTGATGAGATGGGAATGCGAGTATGCGACAGCGGTGGCCTTCTGGAGCAAATGTTTGTGAACTGATTTGGCAAGTGAGTAATTTGGTTATGTTTAAAAAACTCATTTGTAAATAATTTGGTTTTGTTTATTGGATTTTATAATAGACATATTGATTAGTGGTTAGACCCAATTGGTGAAGACAATCACATCAACATCGAAATTGTGTATCTTTAGTCCAAAAGTCAGCATTTTGTCCAATCTTTACTTCATGGGATGCAATTTTCTACTATATGGGACTAAATGAGATGATAACATTTATCCTTTTAAAACATACAGAAAAACTTGCATATGAAAATGGATACCAAGCACAAAGAACTAGCTCAAACATCCAAAAACTGGGATGACTGAACAATGGATATAATTTCACGCACATGCGTTAATCGGAGATGAATTCAAAATTCCACAAAGCAATTAAAATACTGAAGATCAAAAAATGAACAAAAAAAAGAGGAAAATCGAATTACCAATCCCCAATTCCAATTAATCAACAAATATAGACTGTGGTTGCTTACTTCATGATTGGAAAACACAAAGAAGGCGAAATTCGAGCTTAGATTTCGGCCCGACGGAAATACCGAAGCTCTGTGCTTCTTCCCGACTCGTCTCTGCAAAAACTAGAATGGCCCGTTTTCAATTTTTATATGGTTTAAATTTGTAAATACATGGACAATCAGGGGTGTTTTGGTATTTTTGCAGCCAATATTTAGGGTAAAATGGTCATTGTAAGGTAGGGATTAAATTATCCAAGAGTGAGGTCGGGATCAATTTAATCGGCCACCAGCTTGTGCGCCACGTCAGAGCAATCCCATCCCAATCTATGTAAGTAAACGAATGTTATTCTAGGACTATTGTACTTATCATGTCCTGTCACGCAAAGTAAACGACACTTTAGTGTTTTAAAATATTTATAATGTAATTTATCGCGTTTTTTTTTTTTTTTATTATTATACTAGGTAGCGTAAATAAAATTTCATGTTGTTTAAGCTAAGAGTATAAAATTTAGTTTGTTAGAAATATAAAAATATTTACACATAATAAGCATGGTGGTTAATTAAAAAATTATCTTAATACATATTATAACAATAATTTTTGAATAAAATAATATTTGAGTTTTATGATGAATAAAAAGAGGGCGATTTTATTTTGGTATGAAATGTCTGAATTTAAATGATATGGAGATGTGTATTTGAAAATTTTGAAAATAAAATAAATGGTATGAAGCGTATAATTAGTATGGGTATGGAAGTCGAATTTTAGGTTGATTTGTTATATAATCAATGTGATATGATTATCAAATTTTAGCATATTCTCATACTAACTTGTCATAAGTTATGATAGTTCAACAATTTGGTATGTATTTATCTTGAAAATTAAAAGATGTTTGAACAAAGTTAATAAAGTTTAAAATTTGTAATTTAGTTCTAGAGAATTAGTTGAATGATTTAAACGACAAGGTAACCGACAATATTCTAGAAAATTACAAGATTAGTAAAATAAAGATATAGGTTATGTTTGGTAGACAAATAATCTAGCTTATAGCATATTTGATTAGCTTATAAGTATCATGTATTTCAATAAGCTTCATTTGGTAGACGAGCTTTTTGAAAAAGCTCGAGATTATCTCATAAGCTTCTTCGGTAACTTTTCAAAGAAGCCCGTTGAAATTTTTATTTCAGCTAGCTTATCAGCTAATTTTACCAAACACTTTTATCATATAAGCTTGTTTTCCATCTATAAGTCATAAGTTATAAACTATAAGCTCGAAAATTACTGATAAACTATGAGCTAGCTTTACCAGCTAGTTTTTACCAAACATAGTCATATATAAAATATATAAGAGGATTTATTGTATAGTCTAAATTTGGGTTCAAATTTTAAAATGCAGATAAGTAGTTATTTATAACCTACGGGTCAATATTAATTTCGACTTAAATAGAATATTCAATTATTTAATAAAATACTCAACTACTTATTTTTTTATATGTGGATAGTTCATACAAAAATAAATTTAATTTAATTAATGAAACATTATAAGTTCTAATATTATACTTATTATTCACATTGATTTTTAAGTATATGATAAAATTTTACCAAAATAATTATTTTATGGAACTACATTGTATTCAAATTGAATTTTTGGATAAAAATTTTAAAATGACACTTATTTTGGAATGAATATAATGTAATTTATTATCAGTTACGTTTATCGTACCACTACCAAAAAATGTTAATTGCAACGAAAAATCTTATGGTAATATTTTTCAATGGAAATTCCAACGGATATTCTGATGGTATAACATCCTTTGGAATAATTCTAACGGAAATTCCAACGAAAATATTCCGTTTGAATGAATTTTAGATAGAATTTGATGAATGCAACCGCTATATTTCCAACGGCTTTTGACCATATGAATTTCCGTTGGAATTTTATTTCCACCACCGTTGGAAATCTACCGTTGGAATCGTCAAAATCCAACGAAAATTCCAATTAAAAATTCACTCCAACAAAATATTTTTGCTGGAATTTCCGTTCGAAGAATTCCAACGAAAATAATTGCATTGAAATATCCATTGGAATTACCGTTGGAATTCTATTGAAATATATTTTCGTTGGAATTTCATCATTTTCTTGTAGTGCACTACAAAAAAAAAATGTTATATTCCAACAGAAAATCCTATAGTAATATATTCTCATGAAAATTCCAATGGATATTCCGATGGAATGTGTTTTTCATTGGAATTTTAGATTGAATTTGATGATTTCAACGGCTTTTTACCATAAGAATTTTCGTTAGAATATGAAATTTCCATTGGAATTTTTATTTCCACAGCCGTTGGAAATCTACCATTGAAGTCATCAAAATCCAACGAAAGTTCCAATGAAAAACTCATTCAAATGGAATATTTTTGTTGGAATTTCCGTTGAAATCAATTGAAAAAGATTCAAACGCGGAAATAATAGCATTAAAATATTCATTGGAGTTGCCGTTGGAGTTCTATTAAAATATATTTCTGTTGGAATTTCATCATTTTCTTGTAGTACGGGTTGTGTACTAATTTTAAATTGACGTGTTTTATTTAATTTTGCACAATTTAAATTTTATATAACATTTTAAATAAATTAGTATAGGTAAAATTGTATTACATGTTGTTCTATATGTTTTATTTTAAACATTATTTAATGAACATTTATAATTTATAAATATCAATGAATATCTCTTACACGTGCATTGCACGAAATTCATACTATTATATTGAAAGAGGTTGTTAGAATAATCTAAAATAGTAATTTTGACTTTTGTAATTAAACTGGTTGACTTATTATTAAAGAAAATAAGTAAAAACTCTTTTAATATATTCCAAATAAAAATTTTAAATTATACCTAACTGTTGCAAATATTGCAATTCGGTTAATAGCATGACTTTCTATATAAATAAAATAGTATTGAATTCGAACATTATTTTGTGATAATTATCACAAGAAAATCCGATTCTTTGTACTAATTATGAATCACCGCAATTTTTCTTATTCATTTGGTAACTAATCATATATTGTTTATACAACATGTCTTCAAAAAAAGCGACCATGAAATAGTTTTTATTTTTTGTAGAAAATATTATTTGAATATGCATGATAAAATTGAAATATAGTTACAAAATAAAAATTGAAATTAATTATTTCGACCTGACACGCAAATTATTAGTTTAGAAAGAAAAATCTAGATATTTATAATGTATATTGTTACATATTATGATGACAAAACCAACGGATTATGTCGATCTATCCATGTAAATTAACTTACTAAAACAACAAAAAATTTGTAATGTATATTGTTATAAATTATAATGATAAATCAACAAGTGACCTATCGAACTTGTGTATGTTGAGTGTTGTGTGTGTCGTGTCTACGTGTGAATTTTCTGAATCCTGGGGTGAAAATAGAAGAGTATGAAAGTTCTTTGGAGTTCATTTGGGAATTTAGAGGGTGTATTTATTTTTTATTTTAAAAAATCTTACATTTAAATTATTTGAAATTATGATTTGTTAAAACTTTTTAAATTTTGCTGGGATTCAAAAGACAAAATTTAATACAAAATCTCACTCCAAATCTACATCCAAATTTAAGATTTCATAGGATTACTCTAAAATATGAAAATCCTAAAAAGTTTCAAATCTCAAAAAGTCTCAAAATATCACTCGAAATCTCAAATCAATACACTCTCCCGTAGTTATCTTTCGAATTTAATTGTGTTATGGGGAGTTGCTATAAGTATATAAATTTAATTGTGTTATGGGGAGTTGCTATAAGTATATATCGTTGTACTGCTTTGACCCTCAAACCTTAGCCATCTATTTTTGGTGTCTTCACAAAATTTGTAGTTTAGTCCCTCGTCTTTCTGTAGGTTCAAAAATAAAAGTTAAGTTCCAAATATGATCACTGCACTTTGCTATTTATTTTCAAACATGACTGTACTATGTGTGTTTGTTTACAAGACTTTTTCATATTTCTAGCAACATGTTTTGGTTTGAGTGTATTCACCAAAGTTGTAGAGGTGTTTTTGGCATTTTGTAGGAACAAGGTTTTCTTCGTCACCTATTTTCTATAGAAAAATACAAACACCGCGCTAATTGTGTTCTGTCAACTTGACAACAACAATAGTATTACTGATTTTTGAACCATTTTCCATCTTCGTAACTTGCTCGTAAATCTTCAATATCTTGAAATCTTATATTTATTAAGATGATTAATCAAACCTATTTTATATTAAATAATTATCCTAATCTATTCTTCATAATTTGACGAAAGAGATAAATGAAACAAGTTGAGCACCTTAAATGTTAAGAGGAGTTAAAGAATAAATTAAGCAAGCAAAATTAAGAAAAAGGAACATTCTCGGAGGGAGGCTCTCTTCTGATGCAGAAATTCTATGGTGCCACATGTGACACCATATTATGGTGCCACAACATGATGTGGCACATTATGATTGGTGTCACAACTATCACACATCATGTATGACACCAATCATAATATGACACATCATGTTGTGGCACCATAATATGGT